TGATATTTAAAAGTCTATTAAAATTACTGAGTTAAATAGAAAGAGCAAAAGTTGGTCTTGTGTGGTTTTTGGCTTTGTTTTGTTTGAGGGCTAAAATCTCTAGATTAGTTAACTGAATTTTGTGTCTGATTTTTTTTTCTGATTTATTCTAGTGAGCTAGTAACATGGTATCACTGACTATTGAAAAAATATTAGTGGTAATATTTACTAACTAAATTGATGAGGCAGTTGTGTGGCATTTATAGAGTATTACGTTAGCCTTTTATTAACATTTGTGCAAGTGTGCATATACTAGAAAGGTGCAGGGTCAGTGGTAAGTCGATTTGGTGTAGATATGCTTTAATGGGTAAATTTTCCCAATTAGGAGAGGAAACGCTACTGGGAAAATATGTGATCCCCTACTAAAGTATTTTTACTTTAAATCAGATTGACTTTATCTTCATTTCCTCATTATTCTTTTTATTTTCAAACTTGCTGAGATCTGAGGTTGGTGTTAACATACTGATTTCAACTAAAAGTTGAAGTTTAAGATCACAAGGGGAATAAGAGATGATCCAAATAAAAAAGAGAAATGTTAGATTTAAAAAAAAAAAAAAACTAATTTGTCACTTCACTCATTGAGTATGAACTGAATAGACTTCTAACCCTTAAAATACTTTTTTTTTTCCTTTTTATTGCCTGGAATCTTAAGAGCTTTATCATTTGCAGTCATAAAATGAAAATATACACCAAACCCTCAAAGGGCAAGTATGAAATTAAATTATATTTGGGCAGCTGTAACCTTTTAAAACGATCAGATTCCAGTTAATGTATTTCTTCCTGTTCCAAGTGCTGCCATGGTGTTTGATGGTGGGAAGCAGTCCAAAGGGCATTGGGAGATAATAAATTCACTGTAAATTTCACCCCAAGGCATGTCTTGATACACCAAGGCCTCCATTTAGCAAGGCTGACCTAAAACTCTTGTCACATCCAAAGGTCATTTAGGTTGAGGTTGGTGTGTCCCATCTATCTCCCCTTGATGCAAAGAGTGACAGTTGAAACAGGGTTGAGCTCATAAACAGTCATCTGAATATGAAAAAGAAGCTAGCTCTGGAGTAGGAGGGGAAGTGAAGAGAAAACTACCTTCTACAGTGGGACTGCAAGTGCTGGGCTTTTTACAAAATCACATATCTCATAGCTTCTGTTTCAGAGCAACCATTTACTTGAAAGGGGCATTACTGGATTAGGTTGATTTAGAAGGAGATACTCTTTACTCTGGCTTTTATTTATATATGTTTCCAAAGCCTGGGGTGATTTTTTTTAAGTATTTTAAAAGAATCTATTTCCAACCTCCTTCTATTTTAAAATAACAGTACCCCCCTCCCCTTAATCTGTTCTCTTCGCTTAAAGTGCAAAAGCAACCAGCTCATGGGAACAAAGTAGTAGAAAATGTTTTGAAGAAATAAAGCTTAATGTGGTCCTGGAAAGCCATGCTTTTTTTTTTTTTTTTTTTCCCTATTGCTTTCTTAATCATGTACTTTTTCACCATAGGAAAGTATGCATAGCTTTAACCATATTTAAATGTACAATTCAGTGGTTTTGGTTGCACTCACAATGTTGTGTGATCATCACAATTATTTATTTCTAGTACTTTTTAATAATCCTAAATGGAAGTTACGTACCTGTTAGTTAAACAATAATTCCCAGTCCCCTCTACATTTGATAACTTTTGTTCCACTTTCTGTCTGAGTTTGCTCATTCTAGCTACATCATCTGAGTGGACTCATACAATATTTGGTCTTTTGTGTCTGGCTGATTTCACTTGGCTTAATGTTTTAAGGTCCATCCATGTGAAACATGTATTTTTCAATTAGGCAATTTTAGGAAAGACTTCAGTTATTTCAAAAATAATTTTCATTTATGAATGAATCAAGGATATATGAGATCCCAATCATAATAATGATAAGAAACGCAAAGTGTCATGTGAAACATTTTAGACATCAGACTGGATAGATATAATGAAATATTTAAAGTCTTGCAAGTATTTTTTGGGAAAAAAATTAAAAATTCAGGAAGGCAGAAATTTTTGTTTGCTGGTATGTGGTGGTAAAACATTGCTCAGCACATAAGTAGGTACCCAATAATATAGTGAATGAATCAATTGGTTTAATGCAGGAAAGCAAAAATTACAATTGTTGGTTATTTCTCTGGACTGCTTCAGTGACATATGAGAAATATGTCCTATGCATTTGAAAAGGAAGCCTGTTAGGACCAGAGCTGCTAATGTAAGTGAAAATACATTGTAAATACTTCCCTTAGACTGTGGTTTCTGTTATTTTAATTGACTTCAGAGTACTGTGATTTGGGTAGTGCAAATGACTCATTTTTAATATATCTTTTTTTATTCTCTTTTAAGTAGTCTAGAAAAAATAAGGTTCAGGATTAGTATGTGAAGTAAACTATGGAGTTTTATATGATTAGATCCTTAATAAAAGTTATGCAGGAAATAGCAAGTATTTAAGGATGAGATTCACTGTTGAAAATTATCCAGATTTCTGCTATAATTGATTTTGAATCAACTTTAGATCATGTAAAAAATGATTAGGTGAATGTTATTCTAGGTAAAGTGGGTTATGGGTGAACCAATCCCTTCCAGTCAATTCTCCATATTACATCTAGACTGATATTGCAGAAACATAATCTTATTATCTCATTCTTCTTTTTTAACTATCATAAGTTTCCATTTACCTTCTTCCCAGGTACTTCCTCACCGCACTGGAGCTTCACTGGCCTCCTTCCACTGCCCCATACCTGTCATGTTCTCCCCACCTCAAGGTTGTTCTGCCAGCACTTTTCTTACTTCATGTTCATAGTTACATCATCTTGTCCTTCTGAGCTCAAAGCAATCCTTTCTCTAGGGAAGTCTTTCCCGATCTGCCTAGCCATTTATAGCGTCCTCTTATATGCTCTTACAATATCATGAGCAAAAAGGTTACCATAATGAAACTTACTTTTTTTTTTTTTTTTTTTTACTGGCAGCAGCCATTAGGAAAAGTCTCCTCTTAGATCCCTCTCCTTTCCTGCCCTGCATGTACATCATTATCACCAAAAGAAAAGAGCCCAGCTTCTATCAGAAGTACTGTTAGACTATTCCAGCTCTTGGTCCCAAAGCCCTAGACCTTACCACTGCTTTGTAGTGACCAGAAAAGAGGTTCATAAGGCATAGTGGTTATAAGCTAGGAATTATGGTTATGAGCTGTGTATTAAGATTTGGATTCTAGCCTCAGCTTCATCTCTTACCTCTATGACTGTGGACAGATGATTTTACTTTTCCTGGGCTTCAATGTCCTCCTCCAAGAGTAAGAATAATACCTATTCATCCTGTGGCTCCTGAGAAGGTTCAGAGATAAAGCATGGGCCTGGCACACAGTGAGCATCCTATAACCTCTACCTAGTATTGCTGTTATCGTTGCCAGTGCTGCCATTCTGTGTCTACATTTCTCCTGAAATTTAGACCAATTTGCCTTAATTTATATACTTCAATTGCCAAAATATACATTAATATATGACATTTTTTAAATCTTAAAAGTTTACAGGGGGAGAAATGAAAGAAACAATAAGAGTGAAATCCACAAAATGTCTTTTTAATGTTAATCACTCCTACCTGCCATCAATTAGTACTAACAATAAGACAAAACAGCAAAACAAAACAAAACAAAACAAAACAAACAAAAAAAAAAAAAAACCCTTGATCTGCCCATTGCTGTCTTCAGGGAGCATAGGATTCTGTCATCATGATTCATAACATCCTTCACTCTTAACCCTTGACCTTGACCTTGGAGACTCTCATTAATTCAGAGCTAAGGGAAAATCCCTGTTTCACTGGCCAGTAGGTAGGGGACTCCCTCTACTACAGAAAGAGATATATCTACCATGTAAAAGTTTCCCTTTGGAAGCATTTTCATGTAGTAACATTGCCACCCATGTGGGAAGTTTGTGGCATGTCATGGAAAGGAGAACTTTAAGGAATATACCAACTTCAGAAACGACTAAGTTGTTTAGGCTTGGGGAGGGTGTAGACCTCCCCTGTCCCCAGTGAAAATACAGAATCTTGACTGTCATCCTGAAAGAGCATGTAGACTTTTAGCAAAGTCAGTGGCACATCAGAGCCGCTGAGGCAATCCTGGCTCCTGCACTTCCCTCCTATCTGCCAAGTGTTTTCAAGGATCCAGTGAGCCTATGTTCTGGAAGGAAGTATATTTTTTATAATATATAAAATACTGGGCCTTGTTGGTGGCACAAGGGGTTAAGCACCGCACTATGAAGCAATCCACAGCCTCTGCAGCACAAGTTTGATCCCCAGCCAGCCAGAGCGAAACCCACATGGTGCAGCAGACCTCTCCTGTCTCGCCCACTGCTCCCCTCAGCAGTGTGTTTCAGTCAGTCTGCCTGTTCTGTTCCCCACTCTGTCTCTGATGGATCCTCTCACCTCCCCTCATCTCTGGCCTGTACTCCAGCTCTTATATGCATAAATAAATAAATCTTTTAAAAAAAGATAAAATAACTCTGGAACAAAAGAAATGAAAAACAAGAAAAGGGAAGCAATTTGATTTAAAAAAAATATATATATAAAATACTATATAGTCTGGTTTAGTGTAAACTAACAACTAACACTCAGTGTCTTTTTTTACTGAGTTAGAATGCGCACTATTTTAATATTTTAACTCTTACACTTCAATTCCAATATATGGGATCAAATGAACAATGATTTCACATGTATGCACTTTGCCAAAATAGGCTTTTTTGCTTTAAAGCCTTTCTGATAATACTCAGTTTTCCTATGTAAAATGATGAATATTTGGTCGCCATAATCCCCCTGGTAAACAAGCACTTCTCTTCTTGTTACCCTGAAAGGAATTTCAGCACTGTTATTTCCTCATAAATTAAACTAATTAAAGATATAAGTATAATCACTGATGTAGAAAAGATTTGAAGAGCTTTTCAGCGAGTGTCCTCCTTACCTTGCCAAATGGAGATGTATTTACTGGTTGGTGACCTCAGGAATAGATGCAGAGTATTCATCCTCCCACAGCAACAAACAGCAAGTCTGGAGCGGCATAAAAAGGGTCAATGGAATAGGTCATACATCATATGGGGAGGCAGATGTTGGAACATATTGTAATGGATTACTGTGCAGTACATGAAGATGGCTTGTGGAGTAGGAAAAGCAAGGAGGGAGTGAGAGGAAGAGAGATAAACTATCAGTTGGTGTTCTCTTGCATGATTCTCACAAATATATCTGGTTCTTTAAGGAACTGCCTCAATTATAAAAGTCAAAATGTTTTTTTCCTAGCTATTCAAGATTTATTCGTGTGTAATCACATGAAAAAAGTCTTTTACGATCCAGTACATTTGAAATGTTTCTTTATTTATATGCTTCAGTATCTGCAGTGTGACAGGAACAGCATGAGAGCATCATACCTGTGAAAAAAGGTCTTAAGATTTAAGTAAGTTCAAATATTCTTTAATTTTTAGCAGGATGCCATCTTCACACCCTCTCAACACTCCACCCCTCATTGATGGCTCCATATTCTGCCAAGTATCACACTGAGTGGGACTGAATTTGCGATGAAATCATAAAGATTGTCTGTGCATTATTATTTGGTGATAACAGCCACATAGATAACATTATAGCTTTTGTCCGTGTGTTCACTAAAGCTCTTTAGTGGTAAAACCACACTATTGTCAGACATCACATTTTATTTTGTCTTCCACCTCTTCCAAGACATTTCACCCAAGAGTGATTTATTAAGGAGCTATGGGTGATGATGACAGTACTTTCTGCCTTGGAGCCCCTACCAGCCAGCACCTTGAATCCTTGGGTGCATTTCCCAAGTAGCTCACCTGTTTTCTCTGAAGACAGAACATTCCCTTTCTGAAGTGGATTACATTCATTTTTCCCTTGTGGCTTGTCATCCTACCATCTTGAACTCACCCATGCACGTCAGTGGAACATCCAGCCTTTTGGAGCTTTGTCCACCCATGTCACCATGTCATTTCCTTGAAACATTCCCACACTCTAACTTGCTTGTTTTTAAAATGATGCTCCATTGATATAGTATTGACTATGTTACCCTCCATTTGGTTAAATTTGCCTTATCCTTTCAATTTGACAATTTCCTTCATATCTCAATTTTCTTACTATTACTTCAAAAAAAAAAAAAAAAAAAACGGATCTCCCACATTGTGTGTATTTACTGGAACTTGCTTCATCAGTTGACCAGTCCCTGGTGTACCCAGGCTATCGTTCCCTTGGGTTATGCTCCCCAGTGGGACCTCCAAATTGGAGATTAAATGAAACCCTTCCCACACACCCCTCGGCACCTTTCCCTATCACCATTTCCAAGGTCTAGGTAGAACTGGGAAAGCAACAGGAGCAACGCTTCACACCCCACCCTCCCCTTACTTCTGTGGGTTAACCATCAACAAGGTTAGAACAAAACTTTTCCCATCCACTGCCTACTACAACCCTACCCTTTCACCCTCACACAGATGAAGACTCTTAGACTTGAGTTAGTTGTGAGTCTTAATTGTCTAGTCTTCAATTTTTCCAGCAGTCACCTTATATAAAAGTATATATATTTATATTTCTCCTGTTATCCTATTTATTATCATGAGCTTTTTGATATTTGCTATATTCTGTATTTAACTGAATCCTCATTTCTCTGACAGATTTTACTCTTTAAAATTAAATTTAAATATTAATAAGTCTTAAAACTTAATAAAACTCAGTTTTTTAAAAAAGTAATATATCTGAAAATTCATTTTACCACAGAAAACATAGAAGTGTCTAACAAACACATGAGAACATGCTCAATGCCACTAGTCATATTTTAAAGAAAATTAATTAAAAAAAGTTATTTCACTTACATTAGAATAAATAATAAAGACAGATCATACAAAGTTTTGATGATATAGAGAAATTGGGACATTTATAGATGCTAATGGGAATATACAATGGTTTAGGCACTTTGGAAAAGTTTGAATTTTCTTTAAAAAAAGTAAACCATCTGACAGCCAGTCCAATCCTAGGATTGGGTAGTGAAGAGAAAGGAAAACACACAAAGATATGCACTAAAATATTCATACCTGGATAAATCCGCGGCAACACGGAGCCACCTGAGACACTAAGTGAAATAAGCCAATCTTGTTTTTTCTTCAGTCTCTTACACCAGCACCTCAGAAGCTGTGACTACAAAATAGAGTAACCTCACTTCTGGCCTAGGAGAACTAAATAGAACATGACCTTTATGTTAAAAAGGGGGCTGTTGGTGAACAATAATGGGCACCTGAAAGTTATATAATGTTATAATGCAGGGTTACTTCAGGGAAAAAAAAAAAAAAGCATTTGGAAAACAAGTTGTAGGGAAGAGTCATTTTTAAAGAAAATTTTCCTCTGTGGTATACAGAGAAATTTTAAATATTTCACGTTATGTTACTCTGCCTGGAATGTCTTTCCATTTTAACTTTATGTTGCACATCCTTGAAAACCTAGGTCAGCAGGGCTGTGATAGTGTCACACTCTGGGCACCACTTCAGGAGTCATTTGCAAATGAGTCACAGCTAAAAGAGCTACTAGACCTTCTAGGACAAAAATCACTCCTGTTCTCTTAGATGGAGCTGTGGGTAGGAAGCAGAGTACAGGCTGCAACGCAGAAATGCAGCATCGGGAAGGTAAACAGTAAATTCAAACCTTCCCTCCACATCACCAAGGCGTGCAAGGTAAAATCCGCATAATATACCACATTCGGTTTCCTGGGTAGGTAAGATGGCGGAGGAGTGAAATCATTGGGCTGGCCTCACAGCCTACACAGAAATAAGGACAGCGTTCTCTGGAGAACGGCCAGATGACCATTTGTAGGATAGATGGAGTTACCAGGCTTTTGCAAGGGAACCTGTGATTATGGACACCTGGGCTTAGAGAGCGCAGCGCATGCGCATATGTAAATGGTGACACCTGTGTTGAGGGTCCTGGGCTATAAGGGCAGCGCACCTCAGAGACCACGAAGGTGAGGGAGGGCATAGCCAGAGGAATGCTGTTCTGTCCCCTGATTCAGCAGTAAAGGCCTGTGAAGATCTACCTAAGGCTCCAAAATTATCTTTGTATCTGTGAGAACTAAAGATGAACCTTCTTGGCCCGGGATGGTCACTCTACACCACTGCATGCAGAAGGAGGGACAGCGGGCACAGAAGGTAGGATAAATTGCACTTAAGTGGCTTGTGGAGCATTAACAGAGCTGCACCCCAAGAGAAGGAGGGGTCTGTGATATTGTGCGCCCGTGTTGACTTAAGGACTCAAGTCTATACCAGGGCCTGTAGAACCTGGGACTGTGCTGAAGAGGGGGCCATAGCCCAGGTGTGCAGGACAGTAGGGAGCCGACCCTGCTTGAACCTGGAGTAAGCCCCTCCCCACCCTGCAGAGGCAAAGTTGTGCTTGCTGTGGAGCAACCAGGTACCCATATTGGGGAGTAAAGCACCTCACTCCCTGACAGGATCCTGAGGACAGTGGACAGTATTGGCGACTACAGTTTGGGTTCTGTTGGAGGGGGTGTTGTCAGCTTGAGCCAGGGGCAACGGGCCTTGGATACCTGGTGCCTGTACCAGTGGGGAGGGCTTAGTGGGCTCACCTGTGCCTCCTTCCAGACTCAGCTTCTCTACAGCTCGTGGTCATGTTACGTGGAACACCTGCCTCCCCCCTAGAGGAAAACAGATCTTTGACCATTTTAAGCATTTTAAAATGTGTATTTCAGTGGCATCACTAAGGACATTCACACTGGTGTGCGTGCAAGCATCACCACCCATCCGCTGCTGATTTTTTCGTTAATAGTTACATCCCCACTCCTGGCAGAACTGCTTATCTTTCTGTGTCTGTATCTGACTACTCTAAGGTCCTCATTTAGGTGGAATCATGCAATATTTGGCCTTTTATAAATTGTTTATTTCATGTTGCCTAAGGTCTTGCCACTTCATGTGTCATAGTTTCCTTAAGGCTGAACAGTATCCCACTGTACGTGTGTGGCACAGTTGTGTGTGCACCCGATGGTCAGTTGTGTTGCTTTTGCCTTTAGGGTGTTGTGACTAAAGCTGCTATGAACTCGAGTATACAAATAATTGTTCCAATCTCTGCTTTTACTTACTTTGGGTGTAAACCCATAAGTGGGATTTCTGGATCATATGGTAATTCTGTTTAATTTTTGAAGAACTGCCGTACTATTTGCCATAGCGACTGCATCATTTTACGTTGTCACCAGCATGGATTCCAGATTTTCCACATCCTCACCAATGTGTTACTTTGTGATGATAGCCATTCTAATGGGTGTGACTTGGTATATCATTGTGGTTTTTATTTCATCCAGGTATTTTGAAGGGATATTTGTCACAGTGACTGAGTGAAATATTAAAGAGCTTTTTAGCTTTGTGAGTTGGGAATTTTTATGAATTTGGCATGTGAGTTTCTATTTACAGTTTTGTTCTGCAATCTAGCAGGTTTAAGACTTACCCTATTTTCCTGGTAAGATACATGAAAAACAACAAAGAGAGCTGAAAATGTTAGGGAAAATCCATGTTTAAAGTCAAGTTGCTTCGATAATTTTCTATGAAGAAACATTATGAAAAATAATGTGCAAAGCAAATTTATTCACATTGAAACATGCTGATATGTTTTGAAAGATTTTCTCCAGTACATTAGTTTCTCTTTAAACTCCACATTTAAGTTACATTAAGAGGCTGAAATTAAGCTATAAAGATAACACTTATGGAGCCTTGAAATTGCTTTCTGAATTTTCCTCACAAATCTTTTTCCTTGCCCCTACCCTTAAAAAAAACAAAGACTTTTCTCATCAAACATAATATGTATCTGTCAGGTTTGACCTAAGCCTAAGAAGTACACACTTAACCTATATTTAAAATCATAATGGGGACTCTGGTGGAACAGGGGTTAAGTTTCAGCGCTCTCAAGCTGTCACCAGCCACTGTGGCCTGAGTTGAATCCTCTATTCCCCTCCCCGCCAGGGAGCTAACCCACATGGCTCCCCTCCGCAGTGTATTTCAGTAGGTCTGCCTGCTCTGCTTCCCATTCTGTCTCTGCTGAATCTTCTTACCCCTGGCACCTCTGGCCTACACCCCAGCTCTTGTATGCATAAATAAATAAAAATAAATTTAAAAAATAAATAAAAATAAAAGTCATAATAAATGGCAATAAACATGTTTTCAGATCTCTCATCCAAATAGTTAACACATTCTATATATGTTAACTTTAATTGCCATATTTCAGTCATGCTCTAAACAAAAACAAAAACAAACCTGCCTCTGGCATTTCTGTACATGTATTTGAACTTTGAGATGCTATTATCAGTGAATTATTGGCTCTATAATGTTCATTATGTTCCAAGAAAACTTTTTATTCATCAAACTGATCCTGTGATCTTGCTGGCACATTGGCTGAATTTTTGAACCTCGAAAACCAGCATGTCCTGACCCAGTATTGTCAGTGTAGCCTTGTCTGGTCATCCTGGTTTTCCCTCTTTGCCTTTGGCGATGCTGTTTTCCTGAAATCCCTTCCATCTCCTCTGCTTTGTCAAACCTGTATCCTGTTCTCTAAGCATCAGTTGAGACTTCTGCCATAAAACCTGGTTACATAAGATTCTTTTTTGAAAATTTAGTTCTGTATGTGTTTGCTTATGAGAACGTAGAAGGGACTGCTACTTATTTCTGAATGAGAGCTTTCTTGATCAGCCAGGGCGGTAAATGACCTCAACTTTCCTTCCTATACCTATTTAAATCCTTGGGGTAAATTAAAGCTATCACATTGGTCTCATTTGATTAAATATTAAAAATGTGTAAAATTCACTTAGTGCATACTCCATTTCTTTTATGTGTTAGTTTTTGATATGTGATTTCATTTAGAGAAAATGATTCTACTTCATAAAGTTTAATACCATTCTAGCAAAAATAATATTAAATGGCTGTGCAGTCTGTCAACACTTTCCTTTCAGATAATGGCAATGTAAAAGCTCAATTTTTTAAAGACTCTTTATATTTTACCATATTGCAATGAAGAAAGACAATTTTCAATCATAACTTTAGTGTTGTATTTATTTCTCTTTATGGGTCATTTGTACCCGATCTCCTGTCTAGTGGGGTAAAGTTTATAATTTGGGAAGGAGAAATGTGGGGAGTGAGAAAATGGGAAGTAAAGTTAGAGAATGGTGGAAATGTCTTATTTTGTACTGTGTTCCCAGTCAGATATATGTGTGCCTGTCTCCTAACGCATGTCTACAGTAGAGAAACACTGTTGGATCAAACCATGTGTTGTAATTGAATGGTTCACTGCAATTGAAAGTGGTATCTTCAATTACAGTATCAAAATGCAGAGTTATAGAAAAGTATTAAAAATTGCTTAGGTTTCCATTAAAATCATTAGTACTAAATTTCAGTAACCTCATAGCTCATACTGTATTCTAGTTTAAATATCATATATATTGCTTTCAAACATTTCAGTGGCCTTTTTTTAGAGTATTGTGGTTTTTTTAATATTTTATATAATTCTTATACTTTTTATTTTTTGCACAATGTATGCATTTTCATTTTGGTTATATTCCCCATACAATTGCACCCCCCCTTATTTTGACCCTAATCCTTCCTCTCCCTGCCCCCCCCACACACACCGTAGTGTGTCTCTGGTTTATAGTTGCTTGTTGATTTTGATTTTTATTTTGTATTAAAAAAATTAACTAGTCTTTTTCCTGGTCCCTTATTTAGGTTTTCTAAATTCCTGCTATGAGTGAGACCCTCCGGTATTTTTCTTTTTCTTTCTGACTTATTTCGCTGAGCATGATCCCTTCTAGCTCCATCCATGTTGCTGCAAACTGCATGTGTTTATCTTTTTTGATTGCTGAGTAATATTCCACTGTGTATATGTACCACATCTTCTTGATCCAGTCATCTATTTTGGGGCATTTGGGTTGTTTCCATAGCTTACCTATTGTAAATAGTGCACAGATGATATGATAATATACATAGAGAACCCCAAAAACTCCATAGAAAAACTAATTAAACTAATCAATCAGTTTAGTAAAGTTTGGCAGGATACAAAATCAACACGCAAAAATCAGTAGCCTTCCTATACACAAACAATAAATCCAAAGAAGAAGAAATCAAAAAAGACATCCCTTTTATTATTGAAACAAAAAAAAAAATCAAATACTTGGGAATAAACCTAACAAAAGAGGTAAAGGACCTATACAAAGAAAACTATAAAACACTGTTTAAAGAAATAGAAGACACAAAGAAATGGAAAGACATCCCCTGCTCATGGATTGGAAGAATTAACATTATCAAAATGGCTATCCTCCCAAAAGCAGTTTACAGATTCAATGCTATTCCAATAAAAATTTCAATGACATTCTTCAAAGAAATAGAACAATTATTGATTAAATTCATATGGAATCACCAAAAACCCCGAATAGACAATGCTCTCCTGGGGGAAAAAAAAAAAAAAAGAAGGGAATGGAGGCATCACACACCCAGACTTCAAACTGTACTTCATTGGCCTTTTTTTGACTGTATATGAAGTTTAAACTCTGCCTGCTTTCCCAGATTCTATAGGGCGAATTTAGCCCAGAACCCTGGTACCATTTTACTCTTCCCAGGATATGCACTCAGTTAGGCTGTTGCCCCTTCTGCCACCTCCTTTCCACCATTCATTGTTCTGAACCACCCTCTATAGTCATTTTGCAACCACTAGCTTATATCCCTGCTACTGTGGCTTTCTTTAAATTGTTCTCCCTTCCTGGAATGCTGCCTCCTGTTTAATGCCCAGCTTACTACCTCTTTAATAATCACTATCAGAAAGCATTGGCTCATTCTTTTTCCCTGACACCTTTAACAGTGGTATATAGTGGCAGCACATGTCTAGTCTCATTAATTGGTGTTTATCATTATTGACTTAAGGAAAAAATTGTTTATACATTTTTTGTACCTCCCAAACTATAGGGTATATAGTACACATATGTATTACCCAGCTAATTTCTTTCTTGGCATAATTAATTCACTAATAATTTTAACACTTACCTACTGATAAAGTATTTTTTTCACCCTGTGTTTTTAAGTGTTTTACACACATTATGTGATGTATTTCTCACCACAACCCTGTATAAGATCAGTTTTACTTATTATATACTTTGCAGATTGAGGAATGGTTAGGTTAGTTCCCGAGATGACTAACTCAGAACCTGCATTCGAATTGAAGTTTGCCTTATTTGAACTATCCTACTAATAGAAACTATGGCCCTGAAAGGCATTTAAAATACTGAAGAATCAAAGTTTGTGGAATGATTTGACACAAAAAAGTGACATGTGCATATATGAATGTGTATACACACACAGATTTATATAAACAAAAGAATATGAGCACCAAAAATGTACTAACATCAATGGATAGTTTACAACTTAATTTTATGTGACTGTTTCCTATAGCTAAAGTCATTGTCTAATTTAGGTATTGGGAGTGGGAAGGAAAAGGGAATAAGAATGCTATATGATAAGTAAGAAATAATAGAAAACCTAGTGGCCTGTGGATTTGGGGAGTTCTAGAAATCAAAACAACTCCGTAGCCCATCAACTTCAAGAGAAGAATCAAATTATTCTGCAAGGCAGAAGTTATTCTGTTAGTCTGGTTAATCTTATAGTGTGATGTTGTCTGTAGTTTTAACTTTCCATGCTTAGGGTCTCTCCATTTGTTTTTGATGTTTAGGACGACTTAAATGTTTTTCAAAATGTACATTCATCATAATAGGCCTTATATTTAACTCTGTTTTAACCCTTTAAAGAAAAATGTTACCTAAGATTACATTTACATTTAGATGTGTGTACATATACATATATACACACACCTGTATATGTACATGTATGTATAGTACAGAGGATCTTGTTCAGGTGACATTCCAATCCTCATGCGTGCCCATGACCCTTCTCGCTTCACCAAGTCAATAGCAGTTTCCATGATTGTAGATGTCACTCAGTACCCATACCTATTATTGATTTTGCTCCAAGAGCATGTAATAAATGAAATAGAATAATACTCATTTGTTGACTCCTTGTTTTACAGTCAGCCAATACATATTTTAATGTCCATGCAAATGAACTTAAACTTTTGAAAGATTGAATTAATAAGTTCCACCAGCATTTTTTGTTGGTGGTCTGAATCGTCCTCCATTTCCTATATAGCCAGATAAGAGAATCGCAATTTACTTCCTTAAATTACCTGAACTTTCCTATGTTAAACTGTGAATGGTGAAATTTGGCTCCAGCAGTATTAGGTTTTATTTTATCTGTTTATTTCAGGTTTATTTTATCTGTTCAAACCTAAAGTATGTTAGTCTCAAAATTTGAGGCCCTTTTATGCTTCTGTAATGTAATATCAATTTAACACATATTTGACACAAATTAAAATGTTTTAGAAATAGATATTTCACACTTTCAAACCGTGTAAACCAGAAAGATGAGATGCGTTTGGTAGAAAATGCAATAATCCAGGAATAGTGGAAAACTGATCACATCTCCGTATGTCACCTTGTACCAAGAAAGCCAAAAGCGAGGAAGGTGATATGGAAGCCAGAGGAGGAATGAAGATTCACCTAGCATTGACCATACTCCGATTGAACAGTAGGCTAATGAAATTTTCATCTTAAATTACTTTGTCTCTGTATTCTGTAGATGTACCAGTAAAGTAGATGATACTGTACTATTCTTGGAAAAATGCTATACTGTTCTTGAAGAAGTATTTCAATGGGTTCATCTCCTTTACAAATTTATTTTCCTCTTTTTCAATTCAAATAAATTTCTTTGGATAATTTGACTCAAATAAACCTTAATTCCAAATTTAAAAGAGTAAAAATAATGCATTGATTGGGAAGAAAGCATATATATGATTTTATTACAAGTGTTTTCCATTTCCAATTTTTAAATTCAATAGTGTTTCAGAGTATAATTTTGTTGGTATTTTTTATTAGTAGTTTTTATACTACTTTGGAAGTTGTGACTATAGTGACTAATATTTAAACACTAAAACATCTGAGTGACTAATTCAACCATTTAATTACCTAAGTAATACAATAGGAAATAATTTTTCAACATTATGGAATGGAGTCTTTAATAATTAAATTTAATTTTGAGTGGTTTGTCCACATTTCTCATCAGCTGAGATTAAAATATTCATTATTCTTTACTAATTAGGCAACACCTATTTTTAATGTATACTAAGCCATTAATACATAATCATCTCTCCTAGAAATAGTACCACCAGAATAATATTCAAAGACAGGGATACAATATGCAATATGGTACGAAATTTATAATATGATGTATCAATAGTTGTATAGTCAGTATTTTAAAATAGCTACATATTTTTGAGTTTTAGTATCAGTTCCTGTATTTCACTGGACTAATTTTTAATTTGCAAAGGATAATTGGTTATTTTTTAATGACTTCATAAATAGTTCAGGATGAAGACAGTCTTTTGAACTGTAGAATATAATGCACAGGTTTTTAACACAGGTGTGAAAAATAGATCTACTCTGATTAAAAATGTCCCCTCTTCCCTGTCATCATATTTGACATCTTTTTGTTTTTTTATGTAATCTGAGACATATGAATTAAATCTATTTATGTTTTTCTGATCAGAATAGGAATTACTCCAACAAGAAGATATGGGGGGGGGATAATCATTATTTATAGTATAGAAACTTACCTGGGTTACATTCTTTGTCTAAGATGTGTCTTACAGTAGTTGGCGTTAAAAATCAAAACATAGTTTTTTCTTAATATTATCACATTGTTTTCATTAGACCTTAGTATCTGAAAACTATCAAATAACTGCATATTTTCATGTAAATACATATTTTTAGTTTACGTTATTTTATTTATAGAGAGATTCCTCTTATCTGGGCCTTTGATTTATTTTGAGCAGTTTTATCCTTTAAAACTTCTCTTTCAGAGAAAAATCAAGATGATCCAGAAAAATGTTTTATAGTATTTTTTCCTTGTCTGCTTTTTTTCCCCTTTAGCATCAATCAGTCTTTTCATTACAGAAGATCCAGCTTGTGTGGTAAAAGCTTATCAGTGGAATCTCAAGACAAATGGAAATGGAGTTGATTTATCTGTGTATTTTAATAAATATATAAGTATATTGAAATACATATTCATATAATATACATATTTTAATAGTTGTTTCCCCAGTGAGATTTTAATATTTCCATAAACTGCTTAATGGAGACATAAAAAAGCATATTAATCTAAATGTTTGATGTGACTATTTGAATCTAAAGCAAACTTCTTGCTCTAAGATAATACATCCTATGGTTATCATTATCAAAGTAAAGTTTTCCTTAATATGAAGTTGACTTGTTGAAGAATTTCTTATTGTTTATTTAGTAAAAGTTGCTATGTGATGGCTTAGTAGAAAAATGTGTGCTGTAGACAGTATTTCTTAAAACCCTAATCCTCCAGATAATGTCAGGTTTATCCGTGTTTGTATATCATGAAGTAAAGTGGACTTCTGGCAAGCATCCAATTAATTTTTATAAATGTAGGTAGACTAACGAGATAATACTGTTCAAGTGCTCTCCTTCCAGTCCCTCTCAATGTCTTCTGGTATACAATTGACGATCAGAAAAAAATTGTTACAGGTGCCCATTTCAGCAAGTCCAAAAGGGAGGTCTATGCAGGGTTTGAACCAATATGGAGAATAAGAAAATTACTGAGTATATGGAACAGCATTCTTTTTGTAATGTGATATACTTGCCTATCATAGACATTGGGAAAGAGTAAATTTGAATGACTGTTATTTGCTTTGAGTCCCTGCACATACTGAAATCCCTTATATGTGCCGTCTGCCATTTCTCCCTTGAGAAGGAAGTCATGAAATTGTAGGTGACAGCTTTTTTTTTTAATATTTCATGGCAATAAACAAAAATGCCCATAGGAAAGCTACTACATCTGAATATAGGTGTTCCCTGAGAGATGCATTTATTTTATTACTGATAGTCTTTTTTTATCTCACTTTGTCTCTGTTTTTCTTCTGTAGCAGTTATATGCTGCCCAGCTAGCTGCAATGCAGGTTTCTCCAGGAGGAAAGCTCCCAGGCATACCCCAAGGCAACCTTGGTGCTGCTGTATCTCCTACCAGCATTCACACAGACAAGAGCACAAACAGCCCACCACCCAAAAGCAAGGTACTCTTTTGAGGAAGTTATATGTTTTGCCATTTAGAGTTGGACTTTTGCATTCGGTGATATTTATTGAATATTGTGTGCCAGCAACCAGGCTAAACTCTGCTTCTTCAAGATGAGTCAAATAGGATCAACAAGGGGTGTATGTATAAATTTGCATACATATATTTCGTAAACAAGCATTTATTAAACAAGCATGATTTGATAGCTATAGTAGTAAATGTGAGTTTTACAGATTTATAAGAAAGGTAGGCTGTGCTCAAGTACTTATAGTCTTATAAAATACCCATATTCTATCATAAAATAGATATAGATAAAGTGCATTAGAAGTTATTAAGACAAAAAGAACTTCCATGAGAAATCCTGGGAAAGGTTTCCTAAAGAGACAACTAATACAGATATTAAAATAGGAGTGTGGTTAGAAAATGCAGAAAATGCTTTATTTAAATATCAACTGTTATTGTGTGGTACAGGACAAATTTGACATAATATTCATTAAGTGAGGTAATCATGTCAAGACTTAGAATTAAAAATAGTGCTAGAAATAAGAGTATTTAAGAAATAATTCTGTGCTTGAAGCCCAGGTCCTGAGAGAACATGGAAAAGGGTCAGGGAAGATTCAAAGAATTCTTGCTTAGTTGATGAGGGAAGCAGAAAAATTAATGTGGAGGCTTTTAAGATCTTACTTGGATGATCATATGCAAATATATTATACTTTCTCTGAAAAATGTAAGAAGAGTGACCATAAATTAGTTTTCCTGAGGTGACTTAGGGAAATAAACATACATATTTCCTGGCAATGAGAAATGTTTGGTAGAAAATTGACACATTTACCCATCAAATAACTATGTATTTTGTCTTTTGCTGAATTACCTAGAACGTTGTTTTTGATCTTCATTTCATAACATGAAAATGTAATGTCTTCTAACAAGTAACATGGTAAAATACACAGAAAAAAATACACACCTAAAAAACATACACAGAGGAAAAAAATTAGGAAGAATTGAAAGAGAAAATATCCAAGAACTGTTTTTTTTTTTTTTCCCCCTTAGTCCTTTTCTAGTATCCTGGCAGATGCCTTTCACATAACCTGGAGAGCAGATCAGGAAGGAAGGGATCAGCTGGGAAAGTGCACTCCAGCCTCGATCTTCTCAAAACTCTCTAGTTCTTTTCTCTGGAATTAAGAGATAAATGCATTTGCTTGTACAACTTAACTTGGACAAGGACCTTATAAAATGCTTCCCTGGTAGTATGTGCAGAGAGAGAAAATGCTGCGCACACTGCTGTGACATGGGGAGACGCACATGTGGGCTTTTGAGATGGGTTTCAGCTGTGAAAAGGACCTTGCATGCCTGTGCCTAATGTGTGGCTTAGCCAAGGCCTGCTCTAATTGTCTTTATAGTCACAGCAGCACATACACTTAAAGCCTAGTAATAATTATGCAACATTTAATAAAAATTTCAAAACAATGATATTGCCCTGCTTCTGTGGACCAGCAGTTTTAACATATTACGTGTACAGTTTATCTTTTAGTAGAGTAAGTAGCTACAGCAACCTAGTCTTTGTCACCTACCGATAACTGTGAAGTATTGTTCTGCTTTTTATCCTGAATCCTGATGAGTGTGATTTCACATCATATTTCATAATGATGTGTCATATTAGGACATGATTTTAGTGTATTTAGTTACTTGTCAATAACTAATGAGTCTTACCCCTGGAATAACTTTCTTTCATTAATATATTCTTCCCAAATCATTTATTATGATGATCACTAAGCTCTTGATGTTAGTCAGTCAGCCTCTTTCAGTTATGCACCTGTTCATTTGTTCATTCATCCAGCCATTTAAATGTTTATCAAGCAGTTGCTACAGTGACACGTTCTTAGGTAACAGTGGCAAGTCCAAAGGTGACTGAAGGTTTGTTTTACCAAGATTAGGATTCTCTATAAGCTGTATGATTCCAGATATTCATAAAACTCCAGAGACTAGGTGCAAAGCAGGCATATTATTTCAGTGATGTTAAAATTCTTCCATACTCTGTTGTTTCCTATACCTCTATTTAATACAAATGGAAAAGTAGATTGTGTTTCTATAACCATGATTATACATAATATAAAAAAATGTAGTTTATCTTTAAAATTTGGTTACTTTTTGAAAATTAGTCTTGAATTTTCTATTCCATGATGCTTAAAAAAACTATAGATATTGTATTTCTTCCCATCTTCATTTATTATTTTAACCGAGATGAAGAGCCTCTTTATAAAACCAAGTTTTAATAGCAATGTCTTGTCTTTACTTAGTGCATTTTTAGCATCATGTCCACAACCAATTCTTACAGTCAGAAAAGATGTCTTAAATGTGATTGTGTTTTAGCTCAGCAGTAAAGTTTAGTGGTAAAAATAGCCAGACCAATAAATATTACTGTTGTCATTTTAATGAAGAACATGGTCCCAAAAATATAACCAATAGTAAATAAATAGAAGCCAGCCATTTCAATACATGAATTTGGTTTCCTCTACCTGGAGTTGACATTTATATGTAGCATAATAACTATTGCAACTTCACAAACCTTTTTTACTTTTTTAAAATAGCTATCATCTGTTTTTATATTTTTATCTTTTAACAATCTAACCATCAATTCTTAGGATCCTGAGGGTATTTTCTGTGTGTTTTATTGAGGAATTTTCATATTTGTCTCACTATAAATAGAATAATTTTATTGAAGAGTTTGGTGCTATCTGCACATCCACTTGGTATAGACCAAATTGGTGATTTACACTGAAAGCACACTTAAACTGTTTGGAACAGTGGAGTCATAGGCCACATCCAGGTGGCGATGTTAGGGAAATGATCTTATTGGCAGCTGTCAAAAATCAACCACATTCTCTGAGTTTTGTTGCCTGTCCTTCTTCCCAGGTGTGCCTTTGCCTTTGCCTCACAACTCTAGAGAAGGACACAAACAAAACTTATTTGCAATTTGCAAAAAAATGGAAGGGGGGAATCAAAAGGAGGGGGCTCCAAAAGACTGTAAAATTGTACAGCATGAGTCCTCTGATGCATGCTGTTTTCAATCTGCTGTGTGCCAGTTGGAGGCTTGGGGAGTGTGTGAGCACACGAGAAAGGATAATGCTGAGAAATGATAGAGTGGCTGTGACCTCCAAGCTCAGCCTGGAAATCCAAGACATTGATTTCACTTAGCATTCCTGCTGAGAAATCTGGCGGAGTTCAGTTGTAATAAAAGAACAAGATTCTGTTCTAATGGTAATGGCGTATGACAGACATATCACTTTGTCTGTCCTCAGCACCAGAGAGAGGAGGATTGCAGAAGGGTCACCTGACCTGCCTGTGGTGTTGTGTGAGTGCTGTACTGAGCTTTGAACTGCTGCAGCGGAACATAATTATTTATAATATTAAATGATAAAGAAACCTTTAGAGGACTCACAGTGAACCTCTAAACGCTGCACTCAGAAAATGTGTTCTGTAATGTGAAAACACGAAAAGGAATCTGGTCTCTTCAAAATCTGTGTTGGAGAATGTGGATAGTGTTGCTTGTTCAGTTATCTGTCCTTGAACTCACTGTTTGTGAGCCATTATCATTAATGCTTTACATTGTCATTGGTTATTTTTTTTTTATTTTTTAATACCTTGATTTTATGAGGCACAAGGCAAGAAAATATTTTTTATTATGGTTTCTTTTGCCAAACATTGGGAAATTAAGGACATCAGTAAGTTTTAAAATTTTTACACATGTCACATAAAATCTTTCTTAATACATGCACATTTTTCTCTTTAACAATAATTAAATCTTTAACCCCCTGAATTCTATTCCAGAAGTATTTTTCTCACTGACCAACAAAAGGTAATATATTTAGTCCTTCAGAAATAGTATAATATTGCATGTGTGTCCCCTTAGCTCTCCTTATAGATAAATATTGACAAATAACTTTGAAAGTATGAAGTCAGTCATGAACTCTTGTGCACAAGGAGTCTTGTTCAGAGAAAAATTTAGAAATAATTCTGATAATATTATGGAAAATTAGTCAAGGTATAGGTAAGCAGCATTTGTCTTAGAATATCATTTATACCATTGCTGCTTTGAATCTGCTTCTGTTCCATAACAAATGTTTAAATTGATGGATCTAGAGTTTAGCATTCTGCCTCAGGATGGACACATGTACTCGGTGACTTCATTTTTACACCACGTATTTCTTCACCTAAATGATTTTCTGTGTTATTTATTGCAGTCTTTAAAGAACCTGGGTAGCTTCTGCTTTGTGATGGTAATTGGCATTTTGGCAACATTTGTCTTGTAATAATAAGTTATTTCCTTAAAAAAACAATAACCTCAGTATCAACTTTAAAATAGATACCTTGACAGCAAGAGTGTTTTACTCAGTCTCACACAACTTCTACAGTTGTTGGTGATGAATAGACTTATAATGCTATGTTATCAAAAAAATGCTCCCTGGTCGTAGATGGACTAGCCATTTGACCCTCATGCTTTTAAGTGTGTGTGTTGCTGCTAGAGAAGGAGCTACATCTTGGGAAAACACTAAGGGCAACTTGGAAATATTGTTAAATATCTCTTTGTAGTTGATGAAAACTCATATATAGCCTGCAGCAACCTCAAGTAGTTAGTGTGAAAAAGCTGATAAGAGAATTTTTGGGTGCTTTTCTTTTAACCTGGCCCTGACCTGGTCATCCCCCTGGTCACAGTGTGTCTCTGTCAGCAACAAGAGTGCATAGATTGTCTAGATCATTTTTTTCTGTTCTTTTCAAATACTAGTGGCAATCATGTTGTCATTTGCTCAGCAGTAGCACCTGAAGTTATGACAAGGAAAAGAAATATTTTCTAACAAGCCAGAAACAGCCCCATCCAGCTGACCAGACACAATAAGTTTCTTGGAGATGCAATCACCTTATAAATATTGCTTCAGATTCAGAAGCAGGAAGTGGACTGTGTGGTTACATGATACTCCTGCTCAGGCAGGGATGAGACCTTTTTCGATTCAGTAGCCCTGTGCTGTGTGAGGAATGCCTCAAGTGCCGATGGCTCCTAGGAGGACACCTTTTCTATGCAGTACTGCTGCCAATCACGTTGCTTCCTGTCATCCAGTAAGCTTTATATTTCACTGAACTATAGGGGAGAACGCTGTAGTTTCCTATTCTGAATCCAAATTGTGGTACCCACATACGCAAGACTACTTAGTAATGTTGGAAGTATGAGAAATCGGAAGACAATTATGATTCATCTTAATTAAAATTAGTTCTCACAGGAGATTTAAGCAATCATTCTTTTCTGTTCCCTTCTGCTAAATTTGAGACAGTGTTCTGTAATTCCACTGTGGAGAGGGGTCGGGGTGGAGGAAGCTGAATACAAAGTGCATTTACAGCATAACCAAAACCAAGTGTAAGCACTGCCAATACTAAATGTAGGAACATTATTCTTAACATTCTGACAAGTAATCCTTTTAAAATAAAGCACATCAGAGAAATTTCATATATTTTAAATGAACCAAGAATTGCTCAGTCCTCCACAGGAGTGTTTCTGTGATGAAAAGTTTGAAAAGTACTACTCAGTGCAATACAAGTTCATTCAATACTTACCACTTTTTATCTGGCCATGAAAAATTTTAAGTAGTAGGACTTGCTAGAGATATACTTTCCAATATGTAAAAATTCCTAGAATAATATATTTGACTTATTAAGTATTTTCAGATCAAGATCTCAACTCACAACGTAGATCTAGTGCTTGTCTCCGGATGTAGCATCTTGTAATCTACAGTGCCGAACCAGTGTTGTTCATAAGAAAGGAGCTGCCATTCCCCTGTACATGTGAGATCAAATAATATTGCTGATCCCTCCTGCAACTGTTGAACCTGATACTTCTGTAGATTGTATTTCTCTTTAAACTTCAGAGCAGAAAGGGATGTTCGCCTCAGCTAATTACACCTATATTCAAAACTGGCCACTTTGTATTCTTAGGTTTTAAACACTGTCTGGCATATCAATTAAATTTGAGAATCTCCCTGATACCTTGCTCTTTACTGCTGCTTAGTGTTTTGCTGAAGAGCCCTTAAATACGCCTCCCTTCCCCATTTCAATATCTGTGAAATAACAATTTGGTGAGTCTTTGAGATCCTCAAGAGGTGAACTGGTGAATTCATTTGACAAGAATCACCCCATAGAGTTGAACTGTAAATGTGGCCCATTATCATTATCATCACTTCGTGGGGGAGGGACATATTTACAGTGGAGATAACACAATCGCCCTGTCATTTTAAAGAAAATAGTTTTTTTTTTTTTTTGTGGTCCCATGTTGCTAACCTAAAATACATTAAATGAAGTGTTATCAGCAGAGTCCCTGTGATGAGCCTGCCCTTCCTTTTCATCTGTATTCAGTTGACAGGGATCTCAGATGGCCAGGTACTTAAACAGAGGCTTCTCCCAGCCCGGTGTACTAAATGTCCAAGTAGGTCATTTGGTGATACAGTCTTATGACTCAGGAAGAGAGTGGTTGGTCACATTTGTGACATAAAAAACAATAAAAATTACACAAGAAAGAGATAGGCTAGTTACAGTTTTGGCAAATTTTTTTTAAATAGAGTTTTTCTTTTTTTTTTTAAGTTTTTTAATTTATTTCTATAAGAACCGGGTACAGTCCAGATGAGCAGGAGGGTGAGAGGATTCACCTGGGACAGAGTGGGGAACAGAACAGGCAGACTGATGAAATACACTGCTGAGGGGAGCAGCGGGCACTACAGGAGAGGTCTGTGGCGCCATATGGGACCCTCACCTGCCGGCTGGGATCAAACTGGTGCTGCAGAGGCTGAAGACAGCTTCACAGCGCGACGTGCAACTGCGTGCACCACCAGGGGAGGCCCTCGGCAATTTTTTTAAAAGCGCAAACTATGCAGAGGGATTTAGGTCTGTCCTCCAAAATCAACTGGCCTGGCTTGTATTCCTCAGTATATGGATTTTGTTTTGACAGGAACCTGTCCTGAACTCAGCAGCCAGCTCTGATGAGCCATGTCAGAGCTTTTTAATAATGCAAACCTTGGGGAAAACAAGGGAATGCTGAACCTGGGCAAGCACAGGAAGAGCCATAGAATTACATTTTTTAAGTGAATCTTGCTCTCTAAACTTGGTCCTACTCAAAGCAGTTTGGCATCTAGAAAGCTGTGTTTAAAGCACTGTAATTTTAGGGGGCCTCCCTTGTTGTGCAAGGGTTAAGCACAGCACTGTGAAGCTCTCTGCAGCCTCTGCAGCACGAGTTCGATCCCCTGGCCGGCCAGGGAGCAACCCACATGGCGAGGCAGACCTCTCCTGTCTTGCCCACTGCTCCCCTCAGCAGTGTATTTCAGTCAGTCTGCCTGTTCTGTTCCCCACTCTGCCTCTGGTGAATCCTCTCACCCCCGGCATCTCTGACCTGTACTTCAGCTCTTGTATGCATAAATAAATCTTTAAAAAATATATAAAGCATTGTAATTTTAAAACCAGGCAGTTAAAACCTAATTAATATAATAAAGAAAAACAGAAAACTCTGAAAGGATGTCTCCATGATGGGAGTATATACTACAACCCCGTGGACATCATGGCTAAACTATTTGAGTCATTGCTGCGTGCACTACCAATTCATGTGCAACATCACCTTAGTCCCTTGTGCTCTTACTCCTCTATTTTGATCCTTCCCCCACCCCCTCCCCTGCAGAATGTCTCTGATGTATAAATGTCTGTTAACTTTGTTTTGCTCTTTTGCTGTTATTATTTCCCCCATACAGCATTGTATGTAGTTCATAGGTACAGGATCACACAAAGGTGTGAGGAAAAAGATACTCCAAACAATGTGAATGGCACTCTCAAGGACCCTACTATGTAAATGTGTTGACAAATAAAAAGTTTAGGTAGTGGAGATGTCTTGAACATGAGGGAGAGCGATAAGAAATGAGGCTGAGGATGAGGAAGACCCAGATCATATAGGACTTCTTCATGTTATGGAATTTACGTTATATTCTAAGTATATTCATTTTTTTTTTTTTAAAAGATTTATTTATTTATTTATACAAGCACTGGGTACAGTCAGAAGCACGGGAGGGTGAGAGAATTCACCAGAGCCAGAGCGGGGAGCAGAACAGGCAGAGGGCCTGAGGTACACTGCTGAGGGGAGCAGCGGGCGGCAGGAGAGGTCTGCGCACCATGTGGGACCCTCCTCTGGTGGCCGGGGAGCAGCCAGGGATCGAACTGGCACTGCAGAGGCTGCGGGCAGCTTCACAACCCAGCGCTCAACCGCTGCGCCACTGGGGAGGCCCCTAAGTATATTCATTTTTAAAGAGAAACATTTTCTATTTGTCACACTAATTAAACTTTGTGATTTTTTTTACTCAAATTATTATATCTTTCCTCAAGTATTAAATATTTTCTCAAGACCAATTAATTGTTAGTGGCATTAATTGTCAAAAATGCTGCCTTAGATACACTGAGAGACAAGACAGTTGAATCAGCAGATGCCAGTGACTCACCTGGGAGTTGTCCTGGGGCCTGGATGCTGCTGATGAATAGTGTGCACAGGCCTCTGCCCTCATGTGGCTCAGTGTCTGCAGCCCAGCCGCAGTGAGGGCCGTGAACGAGCCCAGCACATCGTCAGCTGAGGGCGGCATGAAGGGGCCAGGAGTGCAGTCTTAGCCTCAGCCCTTCCTGGGTTTTTCCTCGGATCCTTTTATGTTTTCAGGTGTTTTTCATTAGAAGAAAACACTCCATTGACATTACCTGTCACCACCTATAAAAAGCAAATTACAAGGTTGAGATTTTGGAGTGATTATTTTGGTACTAACATGTAAGTATTGATTTTAAAAATAGGTACCTTATAAAATTGTAATTGCTACATGATAGTGCTCTTAAGAGTTTAGGAAGTCTTCATTTACTCAGTGACTTTTGAGCAGGTTTAACAGGCTACATAAGAAAAACAGGCCCCAATTTCTAATTAACCTAACTTTTGCCTTTAGTTGTTGTTGTTGTTGTTGTTGTTTTTTACACGAAACCCAAAGTGATTTCACCATGTCTATAAGTACGGCTATCTTTTAAAAGTCAGTGAAAACTGTGCTAGAATATTAAAGCAAAGGTAACAAAGTACCTGTGAAATTACAGATGGCATCATTTTTATCATTGAGATAAACTCACAGTCTCTTGAATGGAGTATATTTGAGAAGAAACTTTCAAAATCAATCCCTCCCTCTCCCTTCTCTGTGCTTTCCCCCACCTATCCCTCTTCTTCCTGCTTTATTAAAATCACACTTATACAAACATGCAGTGCCACCCATTTTAAAAAACCTCCATAGTTTCTGTTAAACATCCATAGCTAATGTGATTAAGTTCATTACATCATTGTCCATTTTTAAATAATATTTGCTTCCCCACCCCCTCAGGTGTAGTCCCCATAGAGTTTCCTTCACCATCTGCTTGGAAAGTATCTAAATATGAACAGCTATCAGTTTACCTAAATGTAAATCACATACTCATAAGAGTCTCAAGGGAAGAAACTGTGTTCCTTCCCAGTCCTGGACCTCCTTGTAAACGAAATGATTGGACGTTTCTAGAATTACATGTTCCCTCTTATGAGCTGCAGGACTTCTTGTTGCCATATCCCATAGCTGTTAGCAGTTGTGCTTTTAGTTGTGAATGCTGACTCCATTGGGTAAATTTTATAGAATCCAACAGATCTAAAAACATATTTTGGGATTTTAGTTTTCTAAAAGAATAAAGATGAGATCTTTAAATTTAGAATGTCCATTTTATAGATTTAATATTACAGAAAAATAAAGAAATGATTAATCTAGTTAAAAATTCTGCTTCCCCAAATTCTTCCAATACCAGAAAAGACTTGTAAACTCCTATTTTCATAAAACCAAAAATGTATTTGGTAAAACTCTGTTGTAGTGTTTTGTAAGACCGGTTATCAGTACTGACATTTTGTATGAGACTTTCACTGAAATTGAGTCTTTCAATAACCATGGCATTTCATTTTTTTCCTAATTTATTATATAATTTGTGCTGTTATGGTTTGTTTGCAATTTTTATAAATTTTGGCAGTGTAGATATTTCATAAATAGGAAAAAAAGAAATTGAGACCGAAAATAGAAAGGATGAAATGCTGCAAAAATTTTTCTCTTGTGGTATTTCCAGTAGCACTTAAAATAACATAAGAAAAAAAATACTGTTATGATGTATAAAGGCATTATGGCAGCAATGGGAATGTCCTTAAATATAGGTACAGATTTGTGTTCTCTGTACTTTTCTGTGCAACTTTTTTGAGGATCAGAGTTTCATTTTAAGTTGGCAGGAGCCCAATATTCAGGTCAACTGTACATAAATACAGGCCAAGACAAGAATTTTGGGTCAAATGATGGAATTTTTAGTGCCAATTTTTAATGGAAATAGTGTTGTCACTTATCTTTTGAAAATAATGGTTCTGATACAATTTTAAGAAAACCTCTGGTTCCTTTTTGTTTGACTTGGCTTGGCATGTCTTCTATTAGCATTCATAGAGTTGCAGTGAGCTAAAATTCTGATCTATTATATCTATTACTATAATTTATAAATTTGCATCAAACTAAGTGAAGGAAAGATCAATTCTATATGATTGATCATATTAGAAATACTTCTAATTTTAAGTGTCTGGCTCATAATAAGCACTCAATAAATGTTTACTATATTAAATGTTTGTATTACACAACTGTCTTACTGCCATATTTTTCTTCATTGGTTTATGTAATTTATTTAAAATAATGTAGTGACTGTATTATTCATAGGTGAGATTTCTAGAGTGACTTAGAAATCTCAATATTGAGATTTCTTAAGTAAACCTTTTGAGCATCTTTAATATGCTGGACACTGAGTACAGTTTTAAAAAATAATAATAATACCCTGTGCAGTGGAATACAGAAAACAGCAAATAATTTGACAATGAAAATACTGTAGGCTGAGAACTGGTCAAAGAATAATGGAGGAAAGGGAAAAAGCACAGCCTGGGGAGAGGTGGGGGCATAAGAAGATATGTTATTTGTAAGTGTTTGAAGGAAGAGGAAGTAGCCTTTGCAAAGATACAGGCATGAAAGAAGAGAAAGATGGATTTTATATGAATTTTATGTATTTTTAATAAAGGGCCATTGTTTTATATCTTTTTTAATTTTTGACAGTATAGGATTTCCCCTCTTAGGTGTGGTCACTGTAAATCTCCCACCACCAAAGCACCCGTAGTGTCCCATCATAGTCCATTATGATCTCCCCGACTCCTGTTCTTACCCCTCTCCCTTACCCTCCTTCTTCCCCTTCTCTCTTGGGTACCTCAGATCTATGATCCACTTTGGAAGGTTGGTTTTAAGGTTTGTCTTTACCTGACCCTTGATTTAGTGTCTCTGTATACCACATCTAAGTGAAACCATCCAGCATATATCTTTCTCCTTCTGACTTACTTTGCTTAGCATAATCCCTTCCAGAGCCATCTACGTTGCCACAAATGGCATGAGTTTATCTCTTTTGATTGCTGAGTTGTATTCCATTGTGTATATATACCACATCTTCTTGATCCATTATTTGTTCTGGAGAATTTAGGTTTCCATATCTTGGCTACTGTAAATAGTACTATAATTTTAAAAAGGCGTTCAGGTTTCCTTTCAAATTAGTGTTTTTTGTGTTCTTTGGGTAGATACCTAGGAATGGATTGCTTGGTCGTATGATAGATCCATTTTTAGTCATTTGAGGAACCTCCACACAGCTTTCCACTGGGGCTGGACTATTCTACATTTATAGAAAGAAATAGGGGCCTCCCTGGTGGCACAAGGGGTTACATTGCACACTATGAAGCTATCAGCAGCCCCTGCAGCACAAGTTCGATCCCTGGCCAGCCAGGGAACTAGCCTACAGCACACAGCAGACCTCTCCTGTCTTGCCCACTGCTCCCCTCAGCAGTGTATTATAGTCAGTGCACCTGTTCTGTTCCCAACTCTGTCTCTGGTGAATCCTCTCACCCCCCCCCACATCTCTGGCCTGTACCCCAGTTCTTGCATGCATTAATAAATGAATCTTTAAAAAAGAAAAGAAGAGGGGCCTCCCCGGTGACACAGTGGGTTGAGCGCAGCGCTGTGAAGCTGTCTGCAGCCTCTTCAGTGCCAGTTCAATTCCTGGCCGGCCAGGGAGAAACCCACATGGTGGGACAGACCTCTCCTGTCTTACCCTCTGCTCCCCTCAGCAGTGTACTTCAGTCCATCTGCCTTTTCTGTTCCCTGCTCTGTCTCTGGTGAATCCTCTCATCCTCCCGTGCCTCTAGCCTGTACCCCAGTTCTTGTATAAAAATAAATAAATCTTAAAAAAAAAGATGAAAGCTTGCCAATAATGCATCTAGATATTTGAGAGTGAACTTAAGAAGAGTGAAAATGTCAAAGGATAAAGTCTAACTTCCTAACCATGGTGTTGTATGATATAGGCCCACCTATCTTACTAGTCTAATTTGTTACTTCTGCCTTTCCACCATTCCTATCACTTTGTGCAAACAGAATCTCCCTCATATATCATGCTATTTTATCTAATTTTCTCTATCTTTGTGCTATTCTGCCTATCTGAATTGCCTTTGCCCTCTCTGTTTTGCTTTTTCTCAAGTCTTTCACCTTCTCCTACTCATAAGAGGTATCTCAGCTGCTACCTCTATATACAATTGGCTGTTCTAGCATATTGACTGCACTGTGTAAATTCATATTCCTTGTATATTGTCAAAGCACCCTTATCACACTTGATTGTACTTCTCTTTGCTTATATGACTCCGATTCTAGTAAGGAGAAGGACTAAAGCTGATTCATCCTTAGTGCCCAAGCATAATAGTTGACATGGAATCAATCATTGCTCTAGTTCTGTTAAAAAGAATAAGCAAATAACCTGTCTGTGAAGCAAGCCAAGATATTATGTTCACATGTAGGGCTTGAATCAGGGAGGAAGTGGGTATGACCCAGTCTTGAGTCCTTAAGCAAGCATGCTTCAGAATGTAGTACCCAAAACTAAAATTGAAAGGCATTATATAGAGTAAGAAAAAGGAAAGCTAAGAGAGAAAGGAAAGAAAAAATGTAATGGTCAACATGTCTTCAACTGGAGTCTATTATACCTGCAAATGGCATCAACTGAGTAGACAGGAGGATACAGTTTGAAGGAAGCAGGGTGTGGCAGAAGAGGGGCCAGACAAACCTGCATTCCTAGTTTTAAGATCAATATACCAGTTCAGCTCCACCCTAGCTCCCAACAGCTTCAGTTCAGGGAATCAGAGGGTGACGTTGGGATAGTGGACCTGGCTGTGTGCATCACCACTGACTCGGAGGTTGCTTCTCTCTGTTACTCAGATAGACTGAATTTGAGACCCCTTACAGGGAAGCATCAAAGGCCAGCAGCTTGGATCGTTGGATAACATCACTGTACCATGAGCAGAATAAGATTGTACCAATGAAAACTAAAACAAGGCGGTTGCACTATGGGAAGAAACGCACATGGAAAGATTATGGAACCTAACACTCAGATGTGTCACATTTATCCTGTGAGACTAGGTGACATGTACTGGATTTAGGGAAATGAACCTTGTGATGATTGGAGGGAGTATACATGTAGTAGAGCATGTGAAACTGACCAGCATTTAGTGATGGTCTAATAAAGTACTCATTACTTACTTTTGCCCTGATTCTCTTGAAATTTGCTTTTGCAGGTATGTTGAAATTATAAAAAGGATAGCTCTAAAAATTCAGC